CGACACTTCAAAATTTGGTGAAAATGCGACACAGCATTATCATTAAATAAATTTGTAGGGCGCATAGCCACTGCCTTATTAGGGTGATGCTTCTCAATGTACAATGCAACAGTTTCCCATGCTTTCAGCATTTCTCTTATTGCGAGAGAAGATTGTTGCTTTGCTGTTATCTCCTCCTCCTCCTCTGACAAACTCTCCTCCACAACTTCTTGCTGTGAAACACAATGCAATTCCAAATCGTGCAAATCGTTGATGTAGACCGATTGTATGTGCGTGCTAGATCAGCCACGCTCACACCTCGTTCTCGCTTTTCAATGATTTTACGTTTCATTTCTATGGTTATTTTTATTCTCTTATGTCTGTCTTTTTGCGGCTTTTCCTTCGGGGACATTTTTGCAAGGGTTATTAAACTTTGCACCAAAAAAAATCACAAATAATATGTCTGAACACAAGTTTGGAAAAATGTGTGATCACAAGCAACACTAAGATGCTAGCAGAACGTGTGCTAAACACAGACTGATGTAGCAAGCGCACAATCCGGGACTTCCCCTCTCGTCACTCGTTAAGCTAGCCATTTTTTTACAATTTGTTTTGCTAGTTATGTGAATTACTCGTTATGAGAGGTGCTCGTTAAGTGAGGTTCCACTTATTAATAAATCAACACTCTAATATATGAACTATGCCATACTACAGCTCAGATGGTTACTGGCAAGCTTTTCATCCTAAAGGCCTGCTTTCAATCCTAGGCCAGTAGACATAGGATTTGTGGTGGAAGAAGTAACACTGGGGCAGGCTTTCTCTGAGTATGCCAGTTTCTCCCTACCAGTTACCATTCCACCAATGGTCCATTCTCTCATCTGTCAACTTGGGCTGGTACAATGGACCCATCTGCAGCCCAAGTGCCGAGGGACTCAGTCTCATCCCACCTCAATAATGACAACAATAATGGCAGCTACCCCTGTAAAGGGCTGTGAAGGCCCATCAGTCCAGCAATGGCAGTGAAGCTGTCAGCCTTACATGCCAGCCCTTACCACCGAGCAAGATTCCTGGTACTCATTTCTGTTAGAAGCTGAGTTGACCCCAGGGCCATACTACAGCCAGAAGGATTAGGTAAACTGAAGAAATACAATGACCTCATCAGGAATCAAACCCATGACCTTCTGGCTTGTAGCACAGTGCCTCAACCAACGACATTACCCTGTGCCCTGGCAGCAGCGGTGGTGATGACAATTTGTGAGCCAACTTGCACAGTATACTTGAGATGTAAATACTGGTCTGTATAAATTATGAAGTCTTGTGGTTAACACACCATGTCGACATTACTGAAGAACACGGAGCCTGATCAAAGTCAACCTTGAAGGAGCACAGAGCAATTTCCTCTGAAACATTAGTAAGTCCTCACCATTTCCTCCGATTCACTAGAAATTACCATTCTGACATGATGCAAAGCTCAGAGAAGATTTCCTACATAGGTGTATTATTGCCATGGTCTTACGTTACACATCTCCCGCACAAGAGCCTTCTCTCCAGCATCCAGATCTGCAGCTACCATATCAAGGTCTGGACCAGTTGCTCCCAGAGACTCCAGGCCACCAGAACAACTGTCATGTACCCCTGGACCTCTTTCTAGCTGCTCACGAACTTCAAGCACCTGCAATGCCTGCACTACCGCTTCAGGGCGTGAACCACCACAGCTCTACAAACAGATGTGTTACAGCAAGGGTAAAGCTCTTCCTAGACTTAATTAATTATGCACCATACCACAGAGACGTAGGAGGACTGAACCTCTGCACTAGATGGAGGTAAGCGGTCAGCTTCATGCCACGGACATTTTGTCCCAGGGAGACAGCCATCAGTACACACTGTCACACTGTATAGGAGGCAGGGCGAGGCCCAGAGCCAGTCTGGACATCATGGACAAAAGAAAAATCACTTTCCCCTACCAGGAACCGAACCCCTACTCCTTAGTTGTCCGGCCCACAGCCTAGTCACTATACCAACTGGGCTATCCTGGCCACATGGGTAAAGTAAATGACTATAGCAATTTTTCATTCCAACTAATTACCCGACTACATGATACAAGGTACAGAGCCAGGATAGCACAGTCAGTATAACGACTGGCTATGGGCTGGATGACCAAAGTGTCGGAATTTGAGTCCTGGTGGGGGCAAGAGTTTTCACTTCTCCATGCCATCCAGATCAGCTTTGCAGCTCACCAAGCCTCCTATCCAATGGGTACCGGGGGCTCTTTCCCTGTGGGTAAAGCGACCGGAGTGTGAGGCTTACCACTTACCTCCAGCTAGTGCCGAGGTCATGAATAAGTCTATATATTCATTCCCCCATATGTCATCACGTCATAGTGCTTAATTAGTTAAGAACAGGTACAACTTTACCTTTACATCTGATGACCAAGATATGTCCTATGTGAAATCAGAGATTCTCATGGTGCCTACAAAAATTACTGTCATCTGAGATGTGACCTGTGTAGTCTGGTAGACTGTTACCAATGTTTTGGTGGAATATGCTGCCTCTATCTTCAGAGCAGGTAAAAGAAGTAGCATGTTATTCCAAAATGCTGGCAACAATTATCAGACTACACAACATATCATACAAGAGGATATTGTGCCTCTAAAATATGATACTTCATTGACAGATAAGGGCACACATTATTACACCACCATTCAAAAGTTACCAGATTCTATTTTCAACACATAAAGGAAACCAAGCTGCTATACCAGATATGTCACTGAACACACAAGACTATTCTGTAAGGATGCATAGTGAAGGTATAGTGTGCCATTAAAGGTGTTTAGAGAAACAACCTTCATATAACATTTCATCTCGTCTCTTACATCATTTTCCCAGTTCCCACTGGAGCTGTTTGGCCCTGGTACTTGGCCCAACTTTTGCTGCAATGCCAATTTTTCCTCTTCGAGCTGTTTCACTCTCTGTTCCAAACTGCGCACATAATGCATCACTTGATCTGTAAAACAGCAATAAAATAAAGTAAGCCCTCCAAAATCTTATACTTAACCAGAACAATTTTTTTAAATCCCAAATAGAAGCTTCAATAATGGGTATAGTGATTTAAACGACACCATGAATAGTTTGCTATTAGAAAAATCTTACCTACTGAAAAGTTTTAAAAAACACAGTATGTTACAGTTTAATGCAGATACAGGAGTTAATAATGTAACTTGAGAAAAGGTCTAATGATACAATGAAACAAGATTAATATCAGAATAATGCAATATAACAACATATTTAGCACATGAAAGAAATGAATTGGTAAAGCAAATGAATGTCTCTATTTCAAACTAGGAAGAGTAACGAAAATAAAGCTGTCCCTACTCTTACATGAACATCACACCATTAATACGTATGTATGTGGGAGCAGAGATATAGCTCCATGTATTCTTAATCTTGGAATCAGACAGAATTATGTGCTTATATTCACGACTCTGGAAACTTTAACTGTAGGGAAAAAATACGAGTACCCACTGGACAGGAGAGGATGAGTGGACCCCAGAGCCAGTTTGGACACTGTGGAGAAAAGAAATACCTCACCCTGCCAAGAATCAGAACAATTCCTCAATTATCCAGCCCATAGCTTAATTGTTACAATAGGCATTTTTGTGCCCTATTCTGATGCTGTCCATGTGTTTCTTCTATTCTTCGGCACCAATCATTTGATTTTACAGATCTCTATGACTACTATAGTACAGTACAGTGGAGCACAGGCACTATTCGATAGTCACATATTACCTATTCCTATTCGAGACTGTGTCAATTTACTATTAAATTACAGACCTCTGGGAACATGAGGTAGAGTAGTTGGTTGAGGTACTATTCTACTAGCTGGAAGGTTGCAGGTTTGATTCCTGATGAGATCACTGGAATTTTCAATTGACCTAAACCTTACAGCCACAGTATGGCACAACTGGCTACAGGCTGGATGACTGACGGGTCAGAGTTTGAGTCCCAATAGGTCAAGAATTTTCTATTCTCTAAATCGTCCAGATCAGTTCTGGGGTCCACCCAACCTCCTACCCAATGGGTACTGTGGGTTCTTTCCCCAGGGATAACATGGCCAGGGTGGGAAGCTGACCACTCAACTCCAACTAGTGCTGAGGTCAAGAAAATGTGGATCTATACATCCATTCCCCATATGCCTTCATGGCGTGGTGCTTAATTAGTTATGCCAAGGGACAACTTTACCTTAACTTTTTACTATTCATAATTACAAAATATTTAGTTTTACAGTAACGTAACGACTGCGGTACAAAAATGGTACCATTGAACACTGTACGCTGACGCTGAATGCTCTCCTCTAACAGACGTTCTCTGCTCTCCGTACGACGAGGATTTGCTGCAGCAAACTGTGCAGGTAATGGTGGCTCATCTGCATTGGTACTGGAACTACTACCATCACCATCGTCTCTTGTGCCAGGTCGCAAGCCACTACCGCATGAGGGACATACAGCACTCTGATTCCTCTCTTCATCCAAATACAAGCACAGTTCCTGACAAAAAACCGTAATAACATCACACTCATGAAATCTGAGAGGTAGACAGGTCATTACAATACACAAGTTCTTTATTGCTACAGAGGCTTAATGACTTAATGTCGGAGAACACAGTGTTAACTATTCCATCTGAAGTTCAAACCTTTGCCATGGCACAATTAGACCACTATATTTCTATATCCTTCACACAATATCATTTTTTGTGATTTATTTAACAGCGTTTTCTCAGTACCATTACTATATACAGTATCTGACACAATGTTAAATTGTAGCAGGGGAGACTTAATTCTGTTATATTCCACTGCAATGTTGTTAGCGTAGTTTGTTGAGGCATTATGCTACAAGCTCGAAGTTCATGGGTTTGAATCCTGTTGAAGTGGATTTTTTTTTCAATTTACCTAATCCTTCCAGCTTCATTATAGCCCCGGGGTCAAGTCAGCCTCTAACAGAAATGAGTACCAGGAATCTTCCTTGGGAGCAAAGGGCAGCTGGCCCGTAAGATTGACAACCTTACCACCATCTGTGAGCCGACTGTCTAGAGAAAATGTGGGAGCCTCAACGTCTCACAACCGTATGGGCCTGCACAGCCTGTTACAAGGATGGCTTTACCTTGTTTTTTAACTTTTTCTACTGCATTGTTTCTGAACCAGTGCCTCACAGTGATCTACATTACATTAAATTTATTTTACCATGGCTAGAAAGTTTCTATCTGCAATATAGTCTACAATATTGACAGTATCCCTAAACAGAACTATTTAAAACAACTGGGGAATCTGATGAAGTTTGATTTCAACTTCATATCAAATATGATGCAGTTTCTTGCTTAGTTCCTCGGTATGTCAAGAATTCCATACATTTAATGAAACTGCGGGATTACTACATTTACAATAGCTGCTATTGGAACTTATCCTGAACCACTTGAATCCAATCCAACAAAAATATTCCCTTTAAGGGAAATTTTAATATTACCCTTCTCATTTGAGCATATAAAAATTTCCAACCAAAATTTTGTATACAGTCATATCCCCAGGTGTGGTCAATAAGTTAGAGTGCAGCTTACCAGTACTAAATTTAATCAAAATCCATTCAGTAGTTTAGGATATTACACACGTGACTGAGTGGGCAGCCTGATATGACCTCCTTATTTATATTTATTTGATGCATGACATGTTCAAGTTGTGGATGCTGACAGCACTATGGCATTCTAAAAATATAAGGTTCAAATCAAACTGCAGAACTCATATTTTTAAATTCTCAGACACATGGTATAAACCACTGCAAATATTTGCGCCAATATATCTAACTAGCTGTGAAGATACTGAAGTTCAATGTAATATGTTTTACTGATATTTATCAGACTTTTTAAGTCAATATTCTTTTTACCTTATGGCCTACTATGAAGACCTACTTTCACTAAGAGAATCTTGGCTATACTATAAAATCAACTACCCATCTGGAAAGTATCAAATATAACACCTTTAGTTCCAGATTGTCCTTTATGAGTTCTTGTTGCTTGTTGTCCAGTTCCCGCAGTTTGTTCTGATATGCAGACACTTCCTGTCGCATCACACTTGCAGTATACCGCCCAAATCGCTGCCACTCTCGTGCCAGTTTGCGTCCTTTCTGCCTATCATCATCCAGGAAGCAGCAGAGATCCCTTAGTTCCTGATTATCATCCCCAAGTCGCTGATTTGCCTCTTTTAACATTCTGATCTCACTAACATAACTCTGCATTCGCCTTGCCGCCTCCCTTGCAGCCTGGCCCTGTTCCGACGAAACTCTTGCAGTGTCACTTTCAGCCTTACGAACAAACTTCAACATTTCGACAGATCCTAACCTCAACAACTCGTCGTCACCAAGTCTTTGCGGAAGGCCAACAGTGGGATTAGGTCGTCGCTGTGCAGGAGGCTGAATTACGGATGGGGGAGCAGGATACTGGGGAGGTCCTGGATATACAAGTTTATTGGAATCCCCGTTCGCCACTGGCGGTGGCGGTGGTGGTGGATAGTACTTCCCAATCTCAGGCTGAAATGGTTTTACTCCATCTACATTGGGAACTTGAACAGAGTAACTTTTACCATCTTTTAAAACTGGTGCTGAAACAAAGGGTAGAGGGTGTGACTGTGAAGAAGCTGGATAGTGTTTTAGAATTCCCGGGCCACTTGATACTTGTGGTGGAGGCTGGTACCGAGGTGGGGCAACCCCAGGTTCTGTGGCTTTGTTGATGTATGACTGCTGTTTCTTATTTGACATGATCAGGTCCTTGGCAATGTCGACACACGACTCAGCTTTAAAGTTTCATCTCATTACACCAAACCAGATCTTAAGAGAAATCAAATAAAGTCCGCTATAAAAAGCTTCAAAGGAGCACCTAAAAATTAAATATAACTCGCTACGGAAAGCTTGCTATTCTAAACAATGAAGGCACTGAAAAATATAATAACTGGGTCAATATCAAAAAGTGGCACGCGACCTTCTTCCATGAGGAACTCAGTTGTCAATGTTTCCAGTTCGCACCACTTCACGTTTTAAGTCACACGGAAATACACAACCCCTTCAAACATGCAAGCCATACATGTAAATTTCATTTTAACATCAGTATTCTCTGCGTACATCGAAATTCACCGCTAACTTTCAGACATGCGACCAATTTCTACGCAACACGGATATGCACCTTCTACCTGATTTATACCAACATGGCGACAACAGTCAGTCTAGTGCTCTGGTGGACATTTCCGTCACAAACCATGGTATGTAGATCAAAGCGGGTATTTCAAAGGATTATGTGAAAAGGATGGCGAAGTACGTAGTTCATAATGGAGGTGTAACTCCACCATTCTTATCCTCAGCACTAGACGATGGTGAGCTGTCAGTTTCACGCCCCTGTCGCTTTATCCCAGAGGAAAAAGCCCCCTTCCCATTCTCTAGCAGGCTGGATGGGCCTCACTGCACATTATGGAAAAAGAGAAAAAAATCTTTCCCGGACTCCTTGGTCGCCCAACCCGTAGCCTAGTCACTATAATGAGCTATCTCGGCTTCATATTCTACTCCCCTCCTTCATTATTTTATATTCAACTCAGTGTCCAAATTGTCTGAAATATTAAACAAACAAAAAAACTATACCTATAATGATATTCAACCAACAGAAGATGGAGGTACAGCGAATTCCCAAAGAGACTCCAAAAACACAACAATGTTGACTATAATGTAAAGGAGAAGCAGAAAGGGGAGAAGGAAAAACGAATTAGATGGAATAAGAACCGAAGGAGAATTTAAAAAGATGATGATGATGATGATAATGCTACAGGTGAAGAAGAAAAGGTGAATGATAGAGAAGCTGAAAGGAAGAGGATGGAAGAGATGAATATGAAAGAGGAAGAGGAGGGATGAGAAAGAATATGGAGGAGAAAAAGCAGAGAGTAAGGAAGAAATGAATGATAAGCTAAAGAAAAAGAAGAGACAAAAAGGTGGCAAAAACAACACAGTATCAAGAAAGTCGTCTTCTGGGTTTAGACGCCGTGTATTCTTCGTTTTGCCTAAACCCAGAAGACGACTTTCTTCATAGTCATCGCCGTGAAAACCTCAAAACTTAAACTAACACAGCATCACTTTGCTAAATACTGACCTCTACCTGACATGTCAGCAATGGGGCCTACTGAGATGCATTTGTTACACCAAACTTTCCATATTAAACATAAATCCAGACTAGACAGGTCATGCTTCTGAGGAAGGTATCCTTTGTGTAGCATGAAAAGGTTAAAAGGATGGAGAGAAGTAATAAACAGCTTTAGATTAATTTTATTTATCTTTAATCAAGAAAGTCTGCCAAATTCTGGCACTTTAAAATGCCATATGTTAGCAGTTATGTATAAAAGCAAATGACCCAAAAGATTCAGGTTCAAACAAAAACAGAACATACCAAATGTCTTCTACAAAAGATATATCAAACAATTTAAAACAACATAAATGTATTTATAATTAACACTGATACTAAATTTCAATACACTGACCCAACTCATTTTTTCAAATTGCAATTTTTGTACTTAAAAACACTATCATTTTCTTCAATACTTAGAAATGATATAACACAATAATAAACATGAATTCTGTGATATGTTTGTTAATTATTATGTTGCTCTGCATTAACATGAGACATGGTGTCTCATGTACTTCAGCTAAAATGTACCAGATGCATCTGTCCTGAAGTTTATATTTCTGGCAGAAGAAACTAAATGCACAACTTAACATAAAGGCTGAATGCTAATATAGTTTCTGCATTCATATGGAATGCATGGTTTAACACACAGTGCTACAACTTGTTTTATAAATTTTGATAAAACTGTAGTTCGATGGAAAAAGATTTAAGAAACTGAGTGAAAGATATACCTCATTTCAGAGCTTCCAGTTTTGCAATTTTAAAGCTCATGTGCCATGATATCACTATGACATTTTTCTTTAAACAACAAACATTAATTTCCTACTTCAAAGAAATTACATAAAATTGACATCACTTTCAAGTAATATAAAGGTAAAAAGATATAGTTACCTGCTTAATTAAGGAGCACACCATGAAGACTCACGGGGGCACAGAGGTCTAGCTCCACATATTCTTAGCCTCAGCAATAAATAGTAGAGGTGAGCAATCAGCTTCATGCACTAGCACTGTTACTCATGGCGACAAAGCACTAAGTCCCCTTAGACAGAAGGTTACACAGACCCCAGAGCTGGTGTGAACATTGTGGAGACCAGACCATACCAGGTATAAAAACCTCATTCCTCAGTATTCAGCCTGTTGCCTAGCTACTACACTGACCTAGTAACAGATTAAATAATGTCTCCATTTGGATGAGACTATTTTTTATTCGAGTAATGAAATAATTTTGAATTCTAAAGTTATGAAATTGAAATACCCATATTGCAAGAGCATAAACCCCATCTTAAGAGTTTGCACTTTTAAACTGACTTGGCTATATCATCCTATTTTTTACTAATGTATCCATCAATAATACAACTTTAAAAAGACATTAGGACTATGTTGTTCACTAAAAATGCATTTTAATACTATGACAGTTCAAATCAATAAAATGCCCATAGGCCTTTATATAGTACATAAATTTACACACTAAGTGAATGTTCACACTCCTCAAATTGTCTTGGTTTTACATGTATTTTTACTAATTTATATTGAAAACATGTTTCAGCCTCACTGGGCCAACATCAGGTGAATTCTATCCTCGAGTGAGACCAGTGCACTGTATTTGTTTCTCGTGCACGTTATTTTACTTCATGCTAGTTGTTAAAATTTCATTTTTATCCAGCTATTTTGCAGCTGTTATCAGTTTGTCATTGTGTTTCTCTATGTCAGTGTCCCCATTGTGGTCTACAAGTATACCAGTAGAATCTGTTATTGCTAATCTTTCATCAGTTCACAGAATAATTCCCAGTTCATAATATGAATATGTATGTAATTCACAAGCCTTGATGTTATTGGTTTACATAACTGCTGGCCCTTTGAGGTAATCCACTGAAACTTCTAATGTGTATGTTGAACACTTCTCTTTTCTCTTCTGAGCTTTGAACTTCAGCTATCATTAGAAGACCATCAGAAAGGCTTCAATTAACCACATTGCAATCCAAACCAATCTAAATTGTACACTTAAAATGATTAGATGAAATCTACACAGTTTCAAGACCCCTAAATCATGTTTATAATACTCTTTCTTTAATGCTTCCTTATAGCTTAAATAGGAATATTTTACCATCAAATGATCAAACTATTTCCACACATTCACCAGAATGCCTGTGAAGATTACATACACTGACTCTTATTCACACTCTAGTAACTTAACATAAGAACAATACAGTTCAGTTACAATAGATTTATATGAAATATTTTCCACTGAAATAATGACAGGAGTGAGTTAATTAGTCCTTTGGTACTGCAGCCTTAAATGGACCCCTTGTGTAAGTCCCTGATGATAGAAGAGTATACAGCATTGATGGAATGATAACAGGCATGAGGAAGCTAAAGAACTTGCACAGAAACCTCCCCCAGCTCCAGTTCACGAATCACATATCCCACACAGACTACTCTAGGATTTCACCAAGACCCACACGATAAGCAGCCAGCAACTAAGTGCCTGAGTTATGGTACAATCATTCTTTTAATACACTCATAGCCTCTTTCCCAATTATTCCTAGAGTGATTACCATTAAGCATAGCCAGTGACCAAAATCAGGATCAAGTTTGTTATATACAGACATGTTAAAGTATCATAATAAATTAATATAAAAGTATCAATTAAAATGAAAAACTATGCTACAAACCAGAAGGCGGCGAGTTAAATTCCCTACGAGGTCACTGGATTTTTCAACAGACCTAATCCTTCCAGCCACACTATGGCCCTGCAATTGGCTCAGCCTCTTGACAGAAACAAGTACCAAGAATCTTCCTGGGGGGGTGTAGGGCAGCCAGCGCATAAGGATGACAAACTCACTGCCATCTGTGAGCCAACTACCTAGAAAATGTGGAAGTCTTGACGTCTCGTGACCCTACGGGCCTCCACAGCCTGTTACAGGCATAGCTTTACCTTGTACTTAATTCAGTAACACGGAAAATAAGATGGAATACAGTCATCTATACAATAAGGTAAAAAGGTAAACTTGTCCCTGTGCTTAATTAAGCATTACACCATGAAGATGCATGGGGAAGTGGATGTAGAGTTCTACACATTCTTGACCCTGGCACTAGTTGGAGTTGAGTGGTCAGCTTCACGTTCCGGCTGCTTTATCCCTGGGGAGAGAACCACCGGTACCCATCAGATAGGAGGCTAGATGGGAGCCTGAAACAGTCTGGATGATGTGGAGAGGAGAAAAATCTTGGGTAGGGGAAGAGAACTACATCTGGACAGAGAGACATAGTTCTGTTCAGTTTTCAAGCAACATTAAATAAAAAAGAAAAAAACAGCTCTATCACTGAAAATAAAAATCACAGAGCATTCATACGTCAATATACATGGATGACTACATCTTATAGGACATTCCTTCCAATAACACATGAATAGAAAATCACACCTTATTTAAGATACAACTTAGTATAACTTATACAGTGCCTTTTCTGAGCTGGTACACATCACAGAGCATACTGGCAAGCAATTGATCTATATCAGTAAATCTGTCAAAAGTTGTGCATGTACCAGTGCACTGCATATTTCCATCTCCAAACAAAAACTGAGCATAAGTACCAGTAAACATTTTTTTTTCAGAAAAAAGTGCCCTGAGATTATTTATACATTTCTTTGCAACATATAACATAAATGTAGTACTAAACAGCTTAATAATTATATTTCACACATTCACAAATACTGCACGCAACAAAGTTTAAGACTCTAAAAATGATACAAAGGTACAGGCAATATCAATACTCATTACAGGTTGTTTTCAGTATTTAGATACATTAGTGTGTGGTGGTGATAATATTCACACTGACAAAAATGTATTTGTATTTACAATGACACATTCCTTATGAACTTTAGTTAAGAAAGCATTAACATGGTCTGCTAAATGCCTGAAAAATTACAAGTTTTTACTAAATTACCAATAATATTACGTAATGTATTTCACTAAGGCAAAGATTAGTCAGGAAGTGAAATCACTGTAATGATTCAATACATTACACCACTTGCTATTTGTTAAAAATTGTATAAAGCTCATTTTAAGAAGTAAATGCTTTACCATCTATCAGCCTTCACCTATACAATTTAACCCACCATCTGAATAGCGTCTGCTAATTAATAATTAATTCTAGATGTGGAATTTTGGGCAGCACTATTAGGGCGAGGGCACACCAAGGAAACTGGCAACTGCAACACAACCGCTATTTCTGAGAATTGTTATCAGCCTGAGTTGAAAACATGTTACTGAATGGAGCAGCTCAATTTGAGGAAACTGCATTCCATTTCCTCTATTTGTGCTGCTCCATTCAGTAATGTGTGTTCAACTCAGGCTGATAACAATTCTCAGAAATTGTGGTTGTGTTGCAGTTGCCAGTTTCCTTGGTGTGCCCTCATCCTTACAGTGTGGTGCATGCAGGCTTAGTACACAAGACTAGGGTTTGGGTTCCACCTAGGGCACAGTTATTTGTGCACATTTTTTCAAAATCTCCGATAATCACAATCTACCCAGCCTTGGGTCCTGCTATAAAAGAACCCCTTGAGGTGACAGAACATTTCTGACTCAGTAATTTGGGTCAATCACTAACACTCTGATTTGTGTTCATAAGGCAACTGGTTCAAACCTCAGCTAGGCCATCAACTATCCTGACCAAGAAAATAAATTTCTTCTGGGATGTGACTGTCTCAGTAACTTTTTTTTTTAAATCATATTTAAAATGTTCACTAGGAGTTGCTCAATGTCTCTACACAGTAGAATCATAAAGACTGAGGCAGCATGACAGCCACCAGATCATACAGCATCACATTCCAAAACACAGCAGTCTTCACAATCATTTCCACAAAAACCTCAGATCTCATATCCTAGCTGAGATTTTAGTTTTCCTCAGTCCCTCCAGGCAAATGTTAGACTCCTACCTCAAATTAGTTATGAAATGATTATGTTGGACACTGTCCAATGTCTTAGTTATTTATAAAATTAAGAAAAGTGACAATGTCCAACATAAAAATTTTATAGCTGTTAAGAGATTACTATCATAAAACTTTGATGGATCACCTCAAATCAGGCCATAACATCCCAAATCAATATATATTAATGACTGTACCATTCAATGCTACATAGGCTCGCCCAAGACAATACTGTATTAAACTAAATTATAGAATAAATGTTGACATCATCCAGTGTGATTCAATTTGTAGATATTTATTGTGTTTATAGCAAGTGTCACGTAACTTCGAACAAGGCCAAGAGGAAACTTGAAGGCCTGTCACTTCTCACACCATCAAACCCACCCCCTTGTCTGAAATTTTTCTTCCTCGCATTCAAGGTTACTCTTGGCCTTGTTCGAAGTTACGTGACACTTGCTTTCCATATCTACAAATTGAACCACACTGGATGTGTCAACAATTAATCTGAAATTCAGTTTACTAGTGTGATGGACCAGAATGAATAACATTAAACAATACTATATGTGCATGTTGGGTGCAGCCTGAATGGAAAGAGCTGTCATATTTTGATCAGCATATGGAAAAATTACTTTCATTTTGCATTTCCAGTGTTATCATACTTTATCAATAACAACTCACATGTAGCAAAAATATGTTTTAGATAATGGAATGTAGTAAAACCCACACATGTGTCATTTTAGTTGTTCCAGCAAGTGTATATGAAGTTGATTTTAAACAACCTGCCCCTTCACTTAATCTAAAGATAAAAATTAAATGATTTGAGGATTCTTTTGCACATTAAAAAGTTCACTGCCAACAATTTTCACCATTCATATTGTGGTCTTCTGGGTATGACACCATGTAGTGTGGTAGATTGGTACCAACATTACCAAGGAACATACTACCCCCATCTTCTGAGCAGAACACTGAAAATAGAGACCGTAGACTACTTCAACACTGGTACCAACCTAACAATTTATATACTACCTTTCCCATGTTGGGGGATGTTTATGATGGTTTCAGTATCTAGTCTAAACTGTGCAATGGTAGGATGGATAAATTGGAAAGAAGTAGTCGAGGCATAACCAAGTATCATTCTGGCATTCTCCTGGAGAGACTGAAGAAAACCATGATGAACTTCATTCAGGATAGCTGGTGTCCAGGCCAAGATGTGAAGTGAGAATCTCCTACATTTGAGCCAGAGTTGTTGCCACTAGACCAACCTGCTTGGTGGATATTACAACCAGTATGAGGTTTCTCTGCACTCGTACCACATTGCTCGCTAATTTCACAACGTCCACAGTTCTTGCTTACGCGTGCATGTACACAGCTAGTTTTAGATGGGCTCTAGTGGACTAGTTCCACTAAGGATAAGTATACTTCAGTTGCCTAGTTCACTGCAGACACTCACTTCACTCAGTGGTATCCTTGCAAGAGGTCTTGGGTTCAGGGTCATAAGTAAGAGGATTGTGTAGCTTTTAACGGAAAAGCAGTGGTTCACGGATGTGACAAATATGTGTGCTTGTGTATAGGATGATGCAGGATAGTATGATAGTAGGGTTTGGTCAAAGAACTTCCCATTTTTCCTTTGTTGTACAATGCAAGCAACACTCACTATTGCTCATACATTTAATACAAACACAATGAACACTACTAAACTGTATATGTAGTTTGCTTGGCAAGTACTTAATATTTATAATGGATAATCTGGAGATGCCTTGAATCAAATTTTGAGGCAGGCTTTCTTTTGTCTTTGAGGGGGCATACAATGCTTTTGTCCTTATAATGTGAAGTTGGTAACACTGCTGAAACTATTGCTCAAGAAGGGTCAGTATATTAACCTCGACAGTGGCCTTGCTGACCTGCATTAGGGTGAGAAGCCCCCAGTCAACATTACTATATTTCTTGACTGAGCAGAGCAAAAGGTTTGGGCATGTGTCCTTCACATGTTAACTCTTCAAACTGCATCCTGACTCAAAGCTTCCACATCTGTCAAACAAGTTCCAACTTGCACCCACCAAAGAGCCAAGAACTAGACCAGTTACAAAATATGGTGCCAAGATGAATCTTCACTGAGTACATGGCATCATATCCCAGATGATACGCAGTGGCTTCATATCCCTCAAATCCGAAATTTCAACAAATTTAATACAAAGGTACGAGTATAACAAATATAATTCCGGAATAAAGAATGTTAATTGCAAAATTATTACTCTGCCAAAATTCTCCAAATAGAATGTGTTGTTTTAAGAGATAAACACAACCTTCTGAGGAGAAATAAAAAGTAATTTTGGAGGTTCAGTTATATGAATATAAATATGTGAAGTACAAAGAGATAAAAGGTGATTTCCCTCCCGTGCTGGAATACTATTATGCGAAGATAATGTACAAGAAGATGAGAAGAACAGTTCATCAGGAAGTGAGTCATGAGCCCTTCCGCTCCCCAACAACCTTCCTGGGAGGTTTTGTGTATCCCATAGACACTGTTAGTTCTTCTTATGAAATACAAAATATGGAATCACATTCTGCATCATATTAACAATACTCCTATTCTTCATAATGCAATATTTCATAACTTTTGAAGAAACAGCAAATATGTCCACTATCTCAGATACTAACACTTTAATATGAGACATCTGTATACATACCTAAAATTCACTTCATCTTTTAATACACTACTATTTGTAACTTAATATTTAAGGCCACATCATAGCTCAAGCTCAGGTTCAATCCCGCATCTGGTCAAGTGGGATTTGTGGTGGACAAAGTGGCACTGGGCCAAGTTTTCTCTGAGTACTTCGGTTTCCCTCGCCAATCTTCATTCCACCAATTGCTCCACAATCAATCACCCTCAACTATCATCTGGGGCTGGTACAATACGCCAGAAGTGGCTGCAGTACAAGGGCCTTAGTTCCACCCCACTAGCAATAAAAAAAATGTAATATTTACAAATGAATCACAAAAAAATTACAATTCTTCCTCAAGCAGACTACAAATATGTTTTGCAGCACTGTTTCTTTTAGCATGCTTATAGCGTAAATTCTGGTTACTTTCAAAATGTCACTAACCACATTTAAGTAATTGTATTTGGTTATTTTTTAGTGTAATGAGGGCCAGCTCTTATACAAAAATGAAAATAAAACAAGGACTGTGTACAAAAACTCACAAATGTTCAGTCTCTTTGTGCTTTATTGTCACAATAGTTAATGTTCATACATCTCCATACTCGATGCTGGACTGTGACGAACTACTGGATAAGCGATATTGTTCTGGCACTGCCGACAATGCAAGTCCTCCTGGAATAGCAGGATGATACCGCATAGGCGAATAGAATTCTTCTCCTTCATCTGCGGATGAGGGGGAGGGCGGGGAAAGGGCAGCACTGTCCTCTTGTTCCTGTAGGAGCTGTCGGAATTCTTGTATTGACTCGTTGAGGGACCAAAGCTGAGACAGTAAGGAGAGATCCAGCTGACGAAGGCCAAACTGAAACACGCAATATTTCTGAGTTAAGACTTGCTGTGTAACATGCAAAGCATATCATCATTTATGCTTCTTTAGTTGTGGGTTCCTGATACATATGCAGTGTATGTTTTGTTCTCAAAAACTGGCCAAGACATGCTAAATAAACTCCTACAGCTGCCAATTACACAGTTTGCACTACCACACAAATATGAAGTTGAATAAAACGCAATATTCTGGGAGGTCACAGTATCAGTCATTCAAATAAAAAATATGTATGTGTACATGTCCTATTCTGAACGGTTTCCGAGATAGAGCTATTTTAATGTACAGTTATGAAACTGTTGATAAGACAGAGATATTATGTACTGCTTCTAATACTGGTATTTGTTGTTCAAGTGACAAAGTTGGTACAATTTTCCCAGTATAGTACATTTCCGAAAATTCCACCGTCAGCATCAACGTACTCTGCAACTCATGTGAGGACATGGCGTGCTGCTCGTCTGTACAGTGAACACTGTACTGTACAGTGAAATAGCTCCATCTCGGAAACCACCCAGAATAGGACACATGTACAAACACAACAAACTCCGTGGTTTTAGTCCACAAGCGAACTATACCACCTCTGTGATCTAGTGGTCGGAGTTTCTGGCTTTAGATCCAGAGGTCCGGGTTAGATTCCTAGCGCTACCAGATTGTCTGAGTAGTAGTAAGTAACTGAGGAGCTATTTCAAGGAAATAGTGGCTCCAGTCTAGAAAACCGAAATTAACGGCCATGGGGATTCACTGCACTGACCACGCAACACCCTCTATCCGCTAAAGTTGGCATCAACTTCGCCAACAAGCAGCAGTCACTCGGTCGGTCGGAAACATATACGTAGGTCGTACTGAAAGTCATGAGCAACAATTTTTTGTAAAGTAAGATGCTTTATTATTGACAAACCAAATACACCACCTCAATCTACAGACCTTTCTTTATTTTTCCACATAATCGCCACTTCTTTGTGCACATTTCTCCCAGCGTTCTGGGAGTTTTAAAATTCCCCTTCTGTAAAATTCCGTTCCAGCCATCCGAAGACACTGATGCACTGTTTTCTGAATTCAGCGTGTTTATGGAAGTGTGTGCGTGGGTGCGGGCAGTGTTCGAAGACTGGTGAAACATTTTAAAGATGGGAACGCCAGCATCGAAGATGAGCCTCAGAGCAGTCGTCCTCGAACAGCCTCAACTGAATGCAATAAGGAAAGAGTGGATGAGATCATTGAAGATGACAGGCGTGTGACTGTGGACACAATAGCCCGAAAACTTGGAATAGGGCACAGTGCAGTGCAGGAGATGATTGAAAGCTTGGGCTATAGGAAAGTTTATGCTCGTTGCGTTCCACGGTTATTGACCGAAGACCACAAAGGTCACATTGGAAGCAATTGCAAAGATGGGGTGGGAAGTTCTTCCACACTCCTCCTATAGCCCTGATCTGGCACCCTCCGACTACCATCTTTTCAGATTTGTGAAGGATCAGCTGCGTGGACAACGTTTTGAGACAAGAGAGGCAATTCAGAAAGCAGTGTGTCAGTGTCTTCGGATGGTTGGAACGGAATTTTCAAACTCCCAGAACGCTGGGAGAAATGTGTACAAAGAAGTGGCGATTATGTGGAAAAATAAAGAAAGGTCTGTAGATTGAGGTGGTGTATTTGGTTTGTCAATAATAAAGTATGTTACTTTACAAAAAATTTTTGCTCACGACTTTCAGTATGACCTTCATATACATACACACTATTTTGCCTATTATGACCAATACTATGACCTCCGAGAATATTGATTTTTCCTCCTGGGACATCCTGTATAAGATATTCTACTGCATGGCAGATGCAGGACAAGCATCAGGGCTAGATTTAAGGGTGAGTGACCACAGCTGTCACACTGGGGCCTCCACAAAACAGAAATATAACTAACAGATTTTATTGAGAGTTGCTTCACTAAATCCACAAAAAAAATGTATTTTTAGTTATTATAAGAAATAATGAAAAGAACTGTCATAACCTAAATTTGCTGTTACTAATAGGGGGCCTCCACATTTTTATTGTTCCAGATTCCCCACAGTTGTAAATCTGGCTCAGAGAAACAACTTTATAATACTGAATGTAATAAGATATAACAATTACCAATTAACCAACTTAACAAAAAGATTAATGTTAAAGAAAAGACTGTCAGACATATTGGTGAAGATGATGATTATTATAACTGAATACAATGCGGTGTTGACGGTGCATATATGCCCGTTAACTGAAGATGACACAACAAGACCCTCAACAAATACATTTGAAACATGGAACAGACTTTGTGCTGAATGTCATATTAATATTTTTGTTCTCAGATTCCCCTCAAATTTGATCCATGGCAGGCGTACCCACACCCAGAAATTTCCTGACCTGTCACGGTTGATAGGAAATACATTTCCAAACTCAATTTCCCCAGTGCATATTTATGAAGAGCAGATATATATTCCACCTCAAAAATAAGCTAAAATACATTTCTGAAGAACTAATTTAACCATAGGATAATCAGAGGCAGGATACAGCCTTTCAAACGACTGCTTCAAATTAATAGGCATTTAGGTATGATTCACACACTCGCTCGCTCAATCATACATTTCCCCTTCTAGACACTCAAGGTTACAGGAAACTACAGTCACATTTCGTACTTACGTTCATGTCATGTGTCGCAGAGTAGAATTTAAATTCATTCATGATTCACTATACAATTCTTACATAAAGATAATATTCGATTTTGAACAGCGCTAAAACAAATATCCAAAAAATAAATAGAATCAAAACCCGCCAATATAGTGACAGTATCACGAATATATTTTATTTTTGAAACATCGTGTGTATTTGCCAAGGGCAAATGTCCACCATAATCACGTCATAATGTGGCACGCCCAAAAACATCTCCCCGCCCCAGCCCCTTGGATTTTAAAACAGTTCCATTACACAAGATGGCATAGAGGTAAACGCTGACATATATTCGGAAGGTATCAAGTTCGACTCTAGGACGCTCTGTCGGCTATCCTTGGATTTTCCTTAGTCTCTATGGGCGAATATCGGAATGAAGTCTTTAAATATGTAATGACTGCTTGCTCGCTACACAGCATTCTCAGCTCACCCTGTGTTACTTAACCCCTCAGGCTGAAACAAAGTCGTTAAACAACCATAAACAATGAACGTCGAGGTTGAATCGTTAACATTCTCGTTTCGTATTTGGAAAGATCCGTGTTCGAATCTCGGCAGGATGAAGAACTAGCCTATTTTTATTTTCCGTGAAACGCTTCGTTTCACTTCAGTTTGTTAAGCTTAAGATAGTCGGTATGACGCCTTGGACGGGGGATCAGCACGCCGCAAGGCCGCTACCTAACAAAAACACAGAATAAACGCACACAGACATCCATGCCTTCAGTGGGAATCGAAACCACTACCCCACACTGTTCGAGCGAAAGAATATATTTCATGCCTTTGATCGGTGAAAGCTGGGGTAGGGCGTTGCTATGCAACGACTGCGAGATGAGCGGATGTACCAGGGCCATTTCAGGGTAACAGATCAGTAAAAACGTTCCCGTTGCTAGGCAGCAGATTTGTAGAAATGCAACAGCTGGACTACAATAATGGAAGAACTATGTTTTCTACGTGGTCCGTGCAGAGATGTTATAAGCAAGGGACAAAGTCAGCTGATAATCTAACACGTGTTGAGGCGGAGTCGAATACCTCCACCGTGACCCTGCGAGTCGTAGGAGGTGACGAAAAGGAAAATCTGAAATCTGAGGCAGTAAAATACGGTCGCGAGTCCCATGGGACTCGGACCCAAGAATGGCTGCCCTGGCAAGAGCCAGCAGCATATGCAAAAGATAGACCCGTCCTCTCGTCAGAGAGGGCGCCCCACAAAAACAAAACCGTAACTGTCAAACAGTAATAAATATCTGGTCATGAGCCTCAGACGGTGCTCGACACCAAGACTTACTGACTGATCGTCAGTCGCAATGCGACTTTGATTTTGACTTTGAATTGTGAGAAGTGAGAAACTGGTAGCTGACGCCAGTGATAGTTCGGGAACCTAGATGAAGTGGAGCGTCCGTCGTTGGTAGCCGCTACCAAGAAACGGCTAGTGAAGACTGAGAAGACTTTTATGTGTGCTGTAGTTACGCTGATCTTTGGAGCGTGCAGCTCACACAGACTGCCGTAGTTACTTCTTGTTACAAGTGTAGGTGTCCAATAAACCTGATTACGAACCCAAACATCGTCTCTAGTCACACTCACCACGTGACCCTGCCAGGGATCGTACAACGATCCCTCAATCGCCCAGTCCGTAGCGTAGTCGCTATACCGACTATGCTATCCGGGCTCATACATTCACGACACTCAGAAATTTTGGAAAATAAATTCAGGATAATCACGAACCCAATTTTGAGATTATCTGTGCAAATGAGCACAACATTTATCTATTTAGAATGGCTGAAACAGGTTAGAGTGACAGCTGTCATACCAATCTGAACACAGAAATATCTGCAGACACTACAGACTGCGAAATGTTTGCTGTGCTACATTCCTACAAGATTCAAGACGAGGAAAACAAGTGCCATAATCAGATCTTTAGAGTGAAGTCTTCAAGACTGACCCCAAAAGTTAAGAATTACCAACCAGACGGATGCAGAAGTGCTGGACGACCGTGAAGACGACGAGAGGACAATCCCTGAGACGGAACGAGCTAATAAAAGCATGCTTTGAAGTAGTTGGTGACATTCCGACAAGAAGACCTCGCGGACTTATCAAGCATTTGTACATTACAAGAGGCTTTTCATCCAGAAACCATTCTCAGTGTTGTGGCATAGTATATTGTAGCGTGTTTGCGTGTCACGCTACAAATAAGTTCACGCCGTTGTCCCAATATAGCGAATTTATTTCGTTCGCTCACTTATACACACTTTACAGGCGTTTACACTTGCAGGGCTACAATCACTGCTCACAATATTCCGGCG